CAGATGGCTCGGTGGTTATATTGCTGGGCTCCCACATGGCCAGCTACAGATTCCTTCCCACTTGTCTCTATCTCTATCTCTGTCTCTCCAGAGAGCGCTCCCACCCCATGGCAAGTAGTTTTTAAAAAGAAAGAAAAAGAGACGGGTGGAAGACGGAGCACGGGGTGTGGGAGGAGGTGAAGGGAGCGGGGCGGGGCTTCTGTAACCAGCTGCTGAGCCAAGCCCCGCCCCGTTCCCCAGGTGACCGGTAAACAGCCTGTCCCCTCCCGAGCTCCAGCCCGCTAGGTGTTGGGGGCGGCAGGGAGTGCGAGGGGGATGTGCTCCTCGGTGAGAGTGGGGCGCCCTACGGAGCCCCCGGAGGCGTTGGGGACTTCCCGGGAGCCAGGTACAGCTGTCCCCAGAGATGAGTGCCCGAGGAGGAACTCGGGGTCCTGCGGAGCAAACGGGCGGAACTGGGGCTCAGAGTGGGATTGGGGGAGGAAGAGGCTCCGTGGGGCAGTGCCCTGTGCTTAGTAGTCCAAACCGGGCGACCAGGGCATCCCCCAAGAGCTGGGCATTGAGCAGGGGCTTGAAACGGGACCGCAGAGAGCGCTTCTGGGGCCACGAGAGAGCTCTGAGTGCGTGGCCGGGACGCACCGGGTTACAGGTTGTGTCTCCCAGCAGAGAGTGCCCCCGGGAGAAGACAGCCTCCTCCGGACACGGCGAGTGCAGGTCCGCAGGGTGTGGACTGGAGCTACAGGGCACCTGCGGCTAGCGGCCCGGAGAGAGGAGCTGCGGTGGGAAAGCAGCCTGCTGTGTGCGCGGATGGAAAGCAGGAGAGGCCCGGCTCGGAAACGAAGCCTCCTGTCGGGGTGGACACCGGGCTGCCGCCAGCAGAGCAGCCGGACATGGGCTTGGTGGCGGAATCACCCCACTGCCAACTTGCCCTACAGCCTGAAGAGAAAAGGGAAGCTGGACACACGGACCCAGGCATAGAGCCTCCAGATCACATCCGACCCATCTACTCCGGCAAGTTTTTCGATCGGACGCCTTGCTGGCCCAGCGTAAGTTCTGTTCTGCTTTGTTTCCCTAGCTCTGTCTTTGTTGAGATGATTAAGCGTTGACACTTGCTGGGGTCTGCAGGTCCAAATCCCAGAGACTGCTGGGGTCCTGCTCTCCCTGCCGCACGGGGCTCTCTGCAGATGTGGCTTTGTCTGACCTCTGGTTCTGCCCCCTTTCCTAGACACCGGCTTTGCCTTCTGTGCACACCAGGGGCTCCTCCTGATTCCGCCTCTCTTTTCTCCTTTGTTTTTTCTCTTTTTATCCCAGTCTTCCTTTCCTCACCACGTTAAGATAACCCATAAGACGTGTTGTGTCTTAATAGCTACATTATGTATAGAAAAGGAAAAACACTTTTTAATTCACTTTTTTGCCCGTGAGTTGCTCGTTCTCTCAGCAATGATTCGCGTGCGACCATTGTGCTGGGCACAGGGCGATGTACAAGGACAGTTAGGCCCAGAGTCTGTGACAATCAGTTGCACACCAGACTGTGGAGCTGGAAGCCCACACGCCAGCTGTGGTGTGAGTCCTTGGCTGGCTGACCTGAAAGCACCCTGGGTGTGCAGGCAAGTACCTGGATCTTGGAGGGCTGGAGGAAGGAGATTGTGGCGGGACTGAGCCTGTGGAGAATTCATCTGCCTTTCTCCTTCTCATGTGTTGCAAACACTCTATCACAAATTTTAAGAAAAAAGAAAAAATACATGATTTAAAAAAATAATTATTTACCTAATTTTATTTCTTATTTTTATTAATTTTTAATTAGACCAGAAAGAGAGAGAGAAAGAGGAAAAGAGAAAGCAAGCCCCCAGGTCTGGAATTCAAACCATGGTTGGCCATGTGGGAGTTCAGTTTCTTAACCACCATGCCACCTGTTGGCCCCAGAAGAATACACAATTTCTCAAGTTATTTATTTTTTTTCTCTCTCTCTCTCGTGCTCTCTCTCTTTTTTTAAGAGAGAGATTTTTATTATAGGGCATGTGCGCTTGCTATAGAGACACAGACAGAGAAACAAAACGAGAAATCACCTCCCAGGGGAGATGGCCACACCACAATCCTTTCTCCTCCATTTTCTTCTTGGGATTTTGGGCATGCATACACATATGCCTGGCAAGAGTTTTAAGTTGCTGGGTCCTGGACTCTGACTGCTGTCGACTACACAGGAGTCCAGCAACATAACCATTACACCGTCTGCTGGTCCTGAAAACTACATGATTTCTAGTCTCTAGATTTAGGCCCACTCAAATGTTAAAAATATAGCTAAATGAATATTGTATAGATGTCTAAATGAGTAGAAAGCCTATCCTGTTCTTCCTTCATTGAAATGCTGTCCAAGTACAGAGCTCAGTAGAAAGATTATACAATTCTGGAGGAGATGGAAAAGGCAAAACAGAGAAAGTAATATTAGTTAACATTGATAGGTTGTCTGTATTTGTCAGATGAGGAAATGAAGCTAGAATATTTTTTGGCAAATTAATTAATCCCTTATCTGAGGTCAATTGCAAATGTATGCTCCCATTCTGAGAGTTGTCTCCTCACCCTAATTATTGTTTCTTTTGCTGTATGGGAGCTTTTTAGCCTGATGTAGTCCCACTTGTTTATTTTCAGGGTTATTGCTTGTGCTTTGGGAATCTTATTTAAGAAGTCTTTGCCTACTCTGATGTCTCCAAGAGTTCCCTCTCTGTTTTCCACCAGTAGTTTTATAGTTTGAGGTTTGATGTTTAGATCCTCAATACATTTTGAGTTGATTTTTGTTAATGGTGAAAGGTAGGGGTCCAGTTTCATTTTTCTGCTGGTGGATATCCAGTATTTGAGAACCATTTGCTGAAAAGATTTTTATTTTCCCCGCTGGGTTTTCTTGTGCCCTTTGTCAAAAATCAGTTCTTTTTTATGGTGTGTATTTCGTCTTTCAGATTGTGCAAGAACTTCCTCACCTCCTGAAACTCCTTCTCTCTTTTCTCCTGCATCTTCTGGAGTTCATTGTCTCTCAGCTCTTGCATCTCATTTAGTTTTGTCACTATGAATATTCTGAATTCTCTATCAGACATTTCCATGAGTTCTACTGTATTGTCTGTGGGTGATGAAGGATTGTTCTTTTCCTTTAGGGGAGAGATACTTTCTTGGTTTCTCATATTTCTTGTGCCTCGGTGGTGGTTTCTGATCATTCTGTGACAAAAATCCCTCCACTGTGTTTCGCAACATGGTATTCACAGAGAGAAATTATGAGTTCAGATTTATAAAAAGAAGTTTCTTCTTTAAAGCAGGAAGTTCACTAAGCTTTGAAGATTTCACTGACCCTAAAAGTATTCAGATGCTTGGGTACTGTGCACCTAGGCCTTTCTAGGCACTTGGTGTATGGAGACTTGTCTGAGTGTTTTGGGGGGTCCAAAAGATGAGGTTTAGAGCATAGCTTTAGTCACCTTGGTCCCTAGAAATGCCAGGGCACACCTCAGATTTAAAATGGCTTCTCATTTGAGTGTTTCAGGCGTCTAGAAGAGGAGGCTTAGGGCATAGCTTACTCACCTTGGTCCCTCAGAGTGTATATATCTTTTTGGAATTCCTCTTTCATGTCCTGGAGTGATTGTCTCATTGCTTGAATTGATGTCTGTTTTCTCTTGCATCTCACTGAGTTTCATCACAGTGAACGTCCAGAATTCTTTTTATGATATTTCTGTGAATTTTTTTGTGTTGTCTGTTATTGATGAGAGATTCATCTTAAATAATTATTTATTTAATTTTACTTATTTATTTGTTTTAATTTGACCAGAGAGAGACACGGAGAGAGTGAGAGAGAAGGAAAGGGACAAAGCAAGCTACCAGGTCTGGGATTCCAATCAGGGTTGGTCTTGGGGGAGTCCAGTGCCTCAAATGCCACGCTACCTGCTGGCCTTGAGGGGTTCATCTTAAATAGTTTTCATTATTTTGTGTCTGGAACATTTGAAATCCTCCCCCTTAGCGATTCTGAACTAAGTTATTATCAACTATAGTTATCCTACTGTGTTCTATAGAAAATTAAAACATTCCTCTTATCTAATTTTGTATTTGTTAACCGGACACCCTACTGCTTACTCCCCTTTGCTCTTAGCAGCTTTTAGCTATCACTATTGTACCAGAGAATGGAATTTTGTAAGGTTTTTTTTATTATTAAAAGTTTTTAAAAAATAATTATTTAATTTTATTTATTCATTCATTTATTTAATTTGAAAGAGAGAGAGAAAAAAAGTAAGAAAGTAAGCCACCAGGTCTGGGACTTGAACTGTGGTTGGGCCATGTGGGAGTGTCCAGCGCCTTAACCACCACACCACCTGCTGGTCCCCAGCAAGGTTTCTAAGAGATATTTTTAAGAATTGGCACATAGCTATGGATCTGTGTGGTGAGAGGGTGAGAAGTTGATGGATGACTCGGGCGTGTTTACATTGATAATGGATCTCTCAGCGTCAGTGGCAAATTAATATCCAGGGTTTGCTCTCTTGAGGTTGAGACACCTGGTGAAGAAGCCAGGGAGACAGTTCATGACGTAAGACCGTTAAAGACCTTTGTAAGGTGGGAGAAGGCGGTCTAGGCAAGGGTTATGGGAAACGCTAACATTGATGAGACACTCACCACGAGACAAGTTAATGAGGTGAGTTCTTTGAGAATAAGAACAGTATTTTATTTCTTGTTACCTTCATAGCGTATCACAAGACCCGGCGTGCTGGGATTATTCAGTTCACATGTTTGGTAATGAGAGGAAGGCCCACTGACTCAATGGGAGAAAGAACAGTCAGAGAAGGAATGAATAAATCTGAGAGGGTGGAATTAGGAACATTAAGGGAAGCATCCTTAAGGTATTCTGGTAATAAAAAATTCCACGTACTGAGTTTTGAAGGAAATAAAAAAAAACACCCCTCAGTTGAAGAGGTCAGAGGGCCTCTGAAGAATTTTGTCAGATCTGTAGACTTTTGTCCCTCCTGGGAGTCAGGGTGTTCGTTTGTCTCTGACCCACTTTGCTTTCTGCTTTCCTCACTGGGCTCCCCGGTCCTGTCTTTTCTCTTGATCGCACTTCCCATTTCTGGGTTTTTCCTGCTTCTGATCCGATCTCACACACATGCAGACACCAACTGCCAGTTCCCAACACAGGCAGTTCTGAAACGTCTGCTGCTTCTCATTTTTTTTCTTTTCTTTTCTTTCTTTCTTTATTTTTTTTGAGAGGTTTTTGCTATAGGGCGCATGTGCTCGCCAGAGAGAGACAGAAAGTGAGACATCACACCCCACAGTCCCTTTTCCTCCATTCTCCTCTTGGGATCTTAGGCACGCATGCACGTGCACCCGGCGTGAGTTTTAAGCTGCCGGGTCCGGGATGCGAACCACGGTTGACTACGTGGGAGTCCAGTGACATAGCCATTACGCTAACTGCTGGTCCCCTACTGCTTCTCGTTTTCAACATCTTCCTGTCTAAATAGGACAGGATGGGGCGAGTGTCAAGGGGAGAGTGACCAGCAGCAGGCAACGTATCTCTGATAAGGCAGGTATGAGAAAGCTGAACTGACTGGGTGCTAAGGGAGTTGGCAGCACGGCATGGGAGAGGGAGAATCCAGGTGACAAACGTGCTAAAAGATTACATGGGGGTTCGCATTGCACAAGGCTACCATGCTCTTTTACTTCCTTAAGAAGTGTGAGCGGGCCTGGCAGGTGGCATGGTAGTTAAGGGCGCTGGGCTCCCACATGGCTGACCATGGTTTGAGTCCCGGACCTGGTGGTTTGCTTTCTCACCTTCTCTCTCTGGTCAAATTAAAATAAATAAATAGATGAATAAAGTTAAATAAAATAATTCTTTAAAAAAAAAAAGAAGTGTGAGAGTGAAGAGAAGGGAGTAACAATTCCATTTAGAAATCCTATTATTTATTTAGCGAATCAGTGGAGAAATTTGAGCTATAACGCAAGAGGAATGGGTGGAGCCAGACCCTAAGTAAGCAGGAGGAAATGGAATTAGGATCAAAGGTAAGAGGAGGGGGGAACCAGCAGTTAG